GCAAGGCAATATCGATATGTCTGGATCTTTTTCCCCTGGGATAAGTTTTCCAGTGAAGAATCCTTCATTTTCCTTCCTAGGAAGATACAAGACTATTAGCACTTTGGAGATTCTACTATTTACTATATAATTTCTTACTCTTCCTCCCCATCTTTAATGTGGTAACCCCACCCTTAGCTCTGTTTTGTGTCCCCCCCAACATGTATAGCCTCTGTTTTAACTTCTGCTGAGAGAACTGTCAAGTAGAGAAATCTAATCATTAGATTAAGGAGTGGATAGTGGTATGAAGGTCTTTTAAAATACTTTTTGTGTTTGAGATAGTCTCCCTATTTTTTCAGATTAGCTTCCAGTTTTTGGTCTCAAGTAGTCCTCTTGCCCCACCCTCCAAAGGAGCTGGAAATATCTACATGCACCAATATGTTTGTCCTTTTTAAAGACTTTTAATCAATTCTATTCTTTCCATATCCATACATGAACACACACACACATCTTCAAAAGTTCTTGGTACTCTAATCCAAGAGCCTTTATACAGAGGTGTAACAAGCTTGGTTATTAATGATTCCTCCCCACCTTCCACCCTCCCTACTTGTCTTCCCCTAACCAACTCAGGGCTTAGTTTTCAGTTGTCTATTCTTTTCCAAAATCATCTACTTTCCATTTTTAATCTTTAATATTTGGGGAGGGGAAAGGATTTGGGCTGGTTTCCTATTGTTTCCCTCTAAGGTGCCTAGGAACTTCACAGAACAAAAATGATCAGTCAAAAATATATGTAAAAAAGTTCAACATGTCTACTAATTAGAGAAATGAAAATCAAAACCACACTGAGATTCCATCTCAATCCAGTGAGAATGGCAATTATCAAGAATACAAGTAACAATAAATATTTGTGAGAATGTGGAAGCAAATATACACCCATGCATTGCTGGTAGGACTGCAAATTGGTGCAACCACTCTGGAAAACAATATGCAGATTCCTTAGAAAACTGGAATGGAACCACCATTTGATCCAGTTATTCCACTCCTTGGCATATACCCAAAGGACTTAAAATCTGCATACTACAGTCACTCACCCACAGCAATGTTTATAGCAGCTCAATTCACAATAGCTAAGCTATAGAATCAACTTAAAGATGCCCTTCCGCAGATGAATGGATAACTAAAATGTGACATATATACATGATAGGATATTATTTAGACTTAAAAAATAAAACTATGGCATTTTCCAGTAAGTGGATGGATCTGGAGACTATCATACTAAGTGAAATAAGCCAATCCCCAAAAACCAAAAGCCAAAGGTTCTCTTTGATATGCAGAAGCTAACACACAATAAGGAATGGGGAGGGAAGAATAGAACTTCGTTGGATTAGACAAAGGGGAATGAAAGGTAGGTAGGGGGGTATGGAAATACGAAAGATAGTGGAATTAATTGGATATTACTTTCCTATGTTTATATATGAGTACATAACCAGTGTAACTCCACATCATGTCCAACCACAAGAATGGGAAATTATGCTCCATATATTGCATAATATGTCATATGCATTTTACTGTCATGTATATGTATCTAAAAAAAATAAAAGAAAAAGAAAAGGTGCCTGGGGAAGACAGATTAGGGACTGTCTTTAAGTAGGCGTTTGTTCTGTCTTATGTAGAAGGGCTGACTGTGAGCCTGAGGATGACTCTGCCCCACTGCCTACTGGTAGGTAAGCTTGCCCTGTCCGAAACTGTCAATGGGTGCCCTTGAATGTATCAATGACATGAAAAACTGCAGCCTGTTTTTCATGTCACTGATACATTCCTTACCTTTTGATTGGATTTGTTTACTTCTTATTAAGATATGTTTTAGGTGATAGAATATTATATAAACTAAGATAGAGTGTTGAAAATCTTAGCTCTCCTGCAAATATTTGGGTTGTGAGAAAGGATTGAAGTTCTAGTGTGCTATTTGGGCTATCAAATCTCTAAGGGAGGACAGAATATGTTTAGGTTGAGGGTGGGGTAAAGATGATATCCTGGCCCTTGAGAGAAAAAGGAAGTAGATTGTGTATGCACATCCATATATTAGTGAACAAAAAGAATTTCCACATTGCCTCTTGACATTTTTATTTTTGCTTAAAATCAGGGTGAAATTTTGGGCCTTTTTTTCTGTCTTTCATATTCAATTGCACGCCTTTGCTAACAGTGGTATGCAGTAACCTATAATGAAAGCTTGTATTGCTGGACTTAAATGTAGTTTTGGCATAAAGTTCAATTGGGTAGGAAGTATTGAAATTTAGAAATGTTTATATTTTACTGGGATGAGGTGGGGTATATGACAAAACACTTAGAATAGAGTTAAAGGTTACTTAATGGTAAGAGACTTTTAAGTAGTATTGTAATGAATAAAAGAATACTAGAGAGTTTCAATAAACTCAAATTCTTATGGTTAACTTGCTAAAATGAAAATGAGAAATAAATCATCCATTTAAGGGTAAATAAAGGAATGTTCAAAAGAAGAAGGTAAAAGGGAAAATATTGAGACTCTTACCTTAACAGCTTGAAATTTAAATGCACTTGAGTTTCCATTAAAATGATTTTCATATAAAAGTTTTAAGTCATCATGACAGGATATTTATTCTTTTTGAGAATCATAGTACTTTTGAAGTAATTTTCTTTTAATTAGATTTATAACCCTATATTAGCTTATATTGATCTGTCTTTAAGTATTTGTAGTACTAACACACACAAAATTAAAGTATACAGGAGAATATGTGTGGGTTATATGCAAATACTGCATCATTTTACATAAAGTACTTGAGCATCCTTTGATTTTGGTATCTACTGAGTGGGGGGTCCTGCAGATACTGAAGAACATCTGTGTATCTAAGCTAAATCTTCCCCCTTTGTCCTGAAGCCCTTTCTTCTTGTGTTTTCCCAATTTTAAAAAACCCTCCTTGATCACACATCATCCTTTTACCCCATTTTTCTACTTCCAGTCATTGCAGATTCTTTGAAAGAGTTGTCTGTGCTCTTTTCTCACTTCCTTCTCTCATATTATCTCCTGAAGTCCAGGCATTTTATCAGAACTACTCTTATGGAAGTCAGTGACAGCCACCACAATTGTAAATCTTCTGGCCAATTCTTATTTCACATTTATTTAACCTGCATTTGATGGCACATTTGAAGCAGTACTTTCTCCTGACCCCAGCCAGCTGACCCTTGGCCACCTACTATCCCTACTCTGCTTTAATTTTTCTTCTTAGAACTTAACACTGCTTTTAATTATTTGTCTATTATCTGTTTCTGCTCTCTAGGAAAAAAAAAGTGCCATGAGAACAGGGACTTTTGGTCATGACAAAGTGAGAGCATTTAGCATATGCCACAAAAGCATTTGTTAATTGATGAGATGAATGTTTATGTATGTATCATATTTTGCATGTAGTGGATTCTTGTGTATTATTTGATAAGAAGATGTTAATTCTAACTTTCTATTTTAAATATAGGTGGTTCTCTTTTCTCAATATGAATGGCATGCACAGGAAACACATATCACATTGTCTTTATTATTAATCTTCAAGATTTCAATTTTCCAAGTAGTGTAGTTGCTTAGACTTTCCTGCTTTTTGAGCTGGCAGGAATTTGTGACTCTACCATTTTGTCAGTATTGTCTATTATCAAAGTGCTTAACTTTTCTTTATGCATCATCTAAATAGAGGACAAGTTGATACAATTATACTACATGTTTTCTAAAATCTTCTAATTAAAAATAATTCCTTTTAAGGGCTGTAGTACAGTTCAGTGGTACAGCACTTGTGTAGTATGTGCTAAGCCCTGGGTTCAATCCCTAACCCTGCATTTTAAAAAATAATAATTTCTCTTTGAGATGTACTGCTTGGACTTTTAGCTAAGTCAAGTAAAGATGGACCTTTAGAAGTCTACTGCTCCATTAGATATTTTCTAATTTATTATGATATTTCAAACATTTTAATTATAAGATGACTACCACCTAAAAAACACTAGTTGTTTGAACTTTCTTTATACTTAATTTTATTTATAGCTACCTAAATCAAGCTTATTTTGAAAACTGTCTTTTTTAGGGTAAATACTACATAAATATTTTACTAACACTATGGTGCATACTGATCTGTCTTTAAAGCATTTTTCATAGATTGGTTGCATTCTAAGAATTTCAGTTATCCTACAAAGTTATACTTCTAACAGAAATAGAACCCTAAAGATTTTAAGGTCAAGATTTTACTTGTGAAGAAATAGGACTTCTGTATTCTGAAGTACATCTTTTTTTCTGAAACATCTAACTCTCAGTGTACTTGCATTTTTACTTGTAAGGTAAAAACTACTATGAGGTCCATAATTAAGTCCATTACACTGTTTCTATTAACTTCTATAAAGGTGACACTTTTTATTAAACTGAAAAGACTAGAAATCTATGACTAAGGATGCACACTGTTTGGAAAAGCTAAGGAGAAAGCTAGATAGGACCTAGAAACCAAGAAATGAATCTCACTTCAGAGACTATCTTTATATTAAAACCTGGCTTTAAAACTTTATATTAAAACTGCCTTTAAAATAGGGCAAGTGCTTCTCCCTTTTCCTCTTTCAGCTGATTGTACTTCCCAGAGAATTCAGATATGTTGCTGGATGGTTGAATTTTTTGCTGTTAAGTACATTATAACATGTCAGAAAACAGGTTTGGGCTTCTGTGTAAATTGCTGTTTTGATTAAGTTTTACAACTTTGATTTACTGGGAAATGAATGCTCCAGAATGGGTGTAGAGATGGCACTTATGCATGATCCAATTATATTGGATCTATGATCACTTACATTACTTTGTTAGGTTATCACTCACTATATGCAGATGTTTAGATAATAGCTCCTCTTTACATTGCCTTTATGGTTCAAAGAAATGAACACTTTTCATAGTTTAACTGTTTGTCTTTCTCTTTTCATTCCCTTTCCATATCCCTTTTATATTTCACCCAACACCAAAAATGCCCTTTCAGAAACACAAAGTAGATCTTTTCTACAAACTTCGCCATGTGATGAATGAACTTATTGACCTGCGAAGGCAGCTACTGTCTGGTCACCTGACTCAGGATCAGGTACGGGAGGTTAAGCGGCACATCACCGTGCGCCTGGACTGGGGTAATGAGTAAGTATGACTGTTATCTGAGCATCTCTCAGTTTCCATTATAATAACTCAGTCCTTATGGAAGTTAAACCTAATTGAAGCTTCTCCTTAATAATTAAGACAATGTTATATGTTCCGATATGGTCTCATTATTATTGCTAGGTGCAAAGGACACTCATTGGTTCTAGTCTGAAATTCATATTCATTCTCACAACTGGAAAAATGAATAAGAGCTAGACTCTCCTCCAAAGTTTCTTCCAGCTCAAATTTCTTGATTCTAGACCTCATTAATCAGAATACAATCTTTTTTTATCATATGGTGCTTTTTGAAAATGTTGACTCAGTGTCCTTACATTTTATAGCCATACAGTGAATCTGAATAGGAAAAAACTACAAATGAGAATTCTCTATATTTCTATTTCACAATATTCTTAAAATATTATTTTTTTCTTTTCATTCAAAGAATCCTGCATTTATACAGTGGGTATGATTATTTGTTATTGCCCTGGAAGTAAACTTCTAATAATTTGGCATGTGAAGTTAGGATAGATAGTATTCAGATGTTATTTCTCCCTGGATTTAATAATCAATGTGACTTTCAGTTTGCTTTTTTCATTCTCTTAAAATTGGGTTCCTTCAATTTTGAAGTAACCAGTTTGCATCCTACTTAACTGTATGTCTTCAATTCTTCTCCTTTAAGACATCATTGAAATGACAGAAAATAAAAGAAATTGGAGGGGGGGCCACCAATAAATGAGATATATAAACGCATTTATGGAACCTGGAAAGTAGATAGAAGTTTACTGACAGAAGCACCTCAGTATATGTGAAGGGAAATTTAACTGAGGGAGCCAGTCTGCCCTGCAGCTCCCAAAAGGAGGTTGATAGTAAGCCTGGGGTCTTAAAAAATGAGTTGTTTTAAAAGTTTGTATAGGAATAATCTACCCCAATGAGCAAAATGCATGACCAGGCATTTCCCTTTCAGATAAACAATATGAAAACCAACAGTGTGGAAGAAAACTGGGCAAAAAGGATGAATTGAAACCTTGTTGCAAAGCCCTCTACATTCTGGCATTTAAAATTTTCAAAGTAAAAGAACCACATCCCCCCCACTTACCTGAAAATAAAGCTTGCCAATAATCTACCCAGGTATAAGAATTCCCTAGATTTCTTCCAGTACATTTTAGGTCTCATGAACAATCAGGAATAATAAAAACCAGGGTAAAATACCCAGACCCAGAAGAAATAACATGTCCCAAGGAAGAAGTAGAGATTCATAAAGAACTTGAAAAACATAACCTTCTTGTAGAAAATCCAAGAAATCCCACTATGTAGAATAAGATTCTAAGAAAAAGCAATGGAAAATTTGACTTCCAAATTAAAACTTTAAGAATGAAATCATAAATTTTATGTAAGTTGCTTGAACATAAAACAAAAGGATGGTAAATAATTGAGGGGGGGAAATTTAATCCAGGAGGGTACATTATTATACAACTTTCAGAAAAAGAATAAAGGCAATAAAAAAGAAATTCTGAAGAAAGAAAGAGAATTTCCTAGAGCTGCAGAAGGGCAGTCTTAGAATTAAAAGGGCCTATCATATACTTATTATCATGAATTGAGGAAAAGATAAAACAAACAAAAACTCTACAGTGAGGCACATTCAGATATTTTAATATTCCAGGGATGAAGATAAGATCCTTAAAGATTTGAGACAGAAAAACATGTCCTTTTAACAAACAAACAAACAAAAAGAATCACACTTGTGTCACAAGTGTTAATCATTAACACTGGATGCTGGAAGATAATAAAGTAGAATCTTCAAAATTCTTTGGGGAAACAATTTGCCAGAGTTTTGTAAATAATCCAACTATCTAAATGTGAGGATCAAATAAAGCCATTTTTAGGGACACATAATAGCTACTACTTAGGAATCCTTTCTGTAGAAGGGACTTGAGGATATGCCCCTGCCAAAGGATAAGTCAGGAAAGAGGAAACATGAAATCTAATATCTGAGCACATCCAAACCTAGAGTAATACTTGTCAGTAGAAAAAGAAAAAAAAAACCAAATTAGTTATTTAAAACCTTTTTTTAAAGTGAACAGCATTCTACTATCCTTGTCTGCTTTTGTTTACTTACATCCTACCTTGACTGTTAACAAGACTGCTTCATATACTACTTGTTTAATATAATGTGAATTCAGGTATAGATAGGTCAGACAGTGTTCTCTAAATTTGGCTGTGGACAATAAAAAACTAAATAAAATTTAGAAATGTTAACTTATAATATAACCACTTATGCTGTTTCCTCAACCCCAAACACTACTGTTTGATATCATTGCTTTTATTTAAAAAATCAATTAAAATATAATAATTATAAACAATATTACTCTGTCTTAAATTGTTACACTTGAACTGATGATATGGTGATAATAGTTATGTAATTTATTATGTCACAATTTAACTGCAACTATAAATACCAGTAAATATAGGTAATGAGTTTAGGAATATCTTATAAAGATTGAAAACAAACCAAATTTTGCAATCTTAATGATGATAACTTCAAAGTTAAATATGACAGAATAGAAACAAGTTCAAAACATCCTTGAAGAAAGCTAAGAACATTATAATGCCTGTCAGTAAATTATAGAGCTACTGCACCTTTATTAGTAACTTTTTCTCAGTGAAGTAACTGTGTATTGGAGGGGCAGTTATTTATCTATTTCAACAAACAGTAATCAGAAACACAGTTCCATTTCCCTCCCCACTTTCCCTTCTCTCTCCCTCTCCCCTGTTCCTTCTTTTCCCCTTCTTTACTCTGCATCTTCTTCCTTTTTTACCACCCTTCTTTTTCTTCATGTACTTCTTTACCTTCACAACCCTCTTCCTTTATCCCCTCCCCCACTTTATCTTATCCCCCAGTGGAAAATATAGTTACTTAAAAACCTAAATAAGAATTTTGTATATCTATCACTATTAAAAGAAAAAGATATATTGCTTTTAAACTAATAGGAATATTCTTTCAGGTTCTTGCTTGGGCTTACTCTTTTTAATAATTCATCCTATTTTGAAAGAAGAGATTTTTTTTCAAAAAAAAAAAACTAATAATAAAGTCCAAAGTTATTTCATAACATTGAATTAAGTAAAAGAAACCATTCCACACAAAAACTAAGAACTAATAACCACATCCATTGTTCCCATTTTATGCCCTAATAGTTTCATATATCTTGTTCTACCACACTTGTAAATTTTAATAAAACATTGAAGCTTAACACATATTGAGATGTGGCAGATCCATAATCAGTGATTGCTGAGCGTATTTATGTTTTAATTGATGTAAGTAAACATTAATTATGTAATTTTAAATTATTATGCCTTCTTTATAAACTCTCATATATATATTATGCCTCTGCATTTTCAGAAATTATTTCAGAATCTCTTAATACTAGCTGTTAATTTTTTATTGAATACATATACTACATCACTGTTCTGACTTATTTTTATTATTATAATGAAATGCTATTATGCCCGCCCAAGACAACTGTTCCATTTTGCTTTGTGAGGAAACTAATACTGAGAAGCACTTTTCCCAACAACAGTAGTAGAGGTACACTATATTAGATTGTTTGTATCCAGAACTGATCCCCAAAGTTGTACACTTTTGCAGAACCTATCCATCTTCTGATTATTTGTGTGAGTCTTAAAATCAGGCAACTTGTGGCCAATATTTCTATTCCATGTATTATTTTATCTTTCTTTTCTTCTCCAAGTATTAAGACTGCCTGTCCCATATTGTGTATCTGATTTAACATTCAGTTAGAACCTCAAAAGATAGAAATTGAATGGGTTTTACTCTTCATTTAGGTTTTAAATTAAATACAGAATTTTCCACATCTGCATAATAACCATTTTTATTTTGTTTCTTGAGATTAACAATTAATTATTTGAAAAAAATGAATATTTGAATATTTGGCCTTAAATTTATGTAACTTACATATTTTGACCCATGTGCATGTGTAGATTCACTCTGTAAGTAAAAATTATTAAAATTATGTGGGGTAGAAACGAGCACTTAAAAGAGTGTGTTTTTATATTTTTAAGAATTTCAGTACAGGGCTGGGGATGTGGCTCAAGCGGTAGCGTGCTCGCCTGGCATGCGTGCGGCCCGGGTTCGATCCTCAGCACCACATACGAACAAAGATGTTGTGTCCGCCGAAAACTAAAATAAATAAATAAATATTTTTTAAAAAAAAGAATTTCAGTACAGGTTGGGCACAATACAAAACTGTGTACAAATGAGTCATAATCTCTACCTACAAGATCCTATATAGAGAATAAATCAGTTAATTTTATTCACTCCAAAGAAAATTTGAAGTAATTTGATTAGTACCGTAATTTTAATTTATTAATTTAATATTTTCAATACCTTTCATAAAACTCTTAAATTTCCTCTTTGTCTATTATTGTATCACTACAATAAATACAGCATAGTTAATTTAATATTGCAATAATCCAGGACTGACACAGACTCTACTTCAGAAATATTAATAGTAAGTATTGATGGTTTATTGAACACATATACTACATCACTTTTCATGGACTCAATTAAATTCTTTGTTATAATGAAATGCTACTATACCTTTGTAAGATAAGAGCTCCATTTAGAAAATTGATCTCTGACTTAGAAAAATACATAAGTAAGAAGTAATTATATAATTTATAGAATTTATATCTCTTCTGTAGGTAAAAAGTGCTTATTTGAATAATATGAAACATAAGGTTTTATTGAATTAAAATGTTTCTATACATTATTTCTCAAATGAAATAATTTTTATCTGTATTTGTGAACTCACAAAATTTAAGACAAATCACTAATAAATTTATAATTCTAGTTCTTTTATTATTTCTTTCCTTCACTGTCCTGCTATCACTTTTCTCTCTCCCCCTCTTTTCTACTTTGTCTTTCAGATATTCATCTGTCATTCATGTTCTTTTCTTCCCATTAAGCTTTTATGTCCCTCATC